TGTCCCCTGTCCAGCTCCCTGATTTTGCTGCTTTCGGGACTGCCTTTTTGCCTCAGCTTGCTGAACAAGTGTCTCTTCAAATTGGGAGAGGCCATGATGCACCGCCTGCCTCTAGGCTGAATGCTCAGATGTTAAGGTTTCCCATCTGTTGAGGTCCATTCCTAAGGCCTTCAGATCCCACTTGCAGATAGCCTTGTATCGCAGCTGTGGTCTCCCTCTGGGGCGCATTCAGGAGATCTTTTGGAATCTGACCATCAGCCATTCTCACGACATGCCCGAGCCAACGTAGATGTCGCTGTTTCAGTAATGTATACATGCTAAACATTCCAGCTTGTTCCAGGACTACTCTATTTGGAACTTTGTCCTGCCAGGTGGTACCAAAAATGTGTAGGAGACAATGCATATGAAACGTGTTCAACGTTTTCTCCTGCCATGCACAAAGGGTCCAGGACTCACTACGCTACAGGACTGTACTCAGGAAACACGCTCTATAGACCTAGATCTTGGTATAAAGTCTAGAGAACATCTTAGCCTCATGCCAGCATTTCTGTATCAAACATGCATATCGCTGAGGCATCTTGTACAGTATCTTTAACAGAACTGTGGAGGAGAACATGCTAAGGCATCTTGTATCTTTAACAGAACTGTGGAGGAGAACACATAGAAATTTTACATCTTGCACGATCTACAGCTGCTGAAATTTCCTTTTCCACACAGCTATTAAAAGGTACAGGAACCTATGCCATGATTTCATGTAGCCACTTTAATTTTCACTATTTATAAATATGCAGTTAACTGAGAGTCAGTGTAGTTTAGTGGATAGAGTGTTGGACTAGGACCCAGAAGACCTAAGTTCTACCTATCCATGGAAAATCATTGTGAGCATGGCAATGGAAAAGCCACTCTTTAAATATCTCAGAGTGGTACCGACTTACCAGATGGGCGCACTCTTTAAATATCTCACATGCTGTGGAAATCCTACTAGGATCACAGAGGACTGGATCAACTTAATACCACACATGCATCCATGCGTCTGAGGAAATGGGCTCTGTATCCATGAAAATTCATGTAAAACTTAGTTCTAAAGCTGCTTCATCACAGCTTGTTATTATACCTTCATATAGTTAAATGGAAATTTCAGCCTAAACTCCCCAGCCAAGCTATATTAAGGCAGTTTTTGTTCTAAGGCAAAAGAATACACACCAAGAACTTGTAAGCTTCATAAAATGTAGACAGCAAGACTACTTCATGTAATAAGGCAGAAGTACAGACTGTTACAGCTGATCATTCAGGAAAAGACCATTTACAGAGAGACCTAGCTTCATGGATTAGGACATGCTTGGGTGCCGACAGTTACTGGTTCGATCCCAGTGCCAAGCATCTCCAATTTTAAAAAAATAAAGTAGCAAGTGATGGGAAATATCTCTGCTGGAAATCCTGGTGCGCTGCAGCCAACCAGAACAGATAATTTTGAAACCAGATGGCTTAATGGTCCAACCTGTTAGATTGCTGACTGCACCAGAAGGGTGGGTGAGTGTGTTCTGCGAGATGTGATACAAAAAGAAATATTTCCAGGCTCTGCAAAAATAACGCAACATGGGTCAAACATGTTTAACACAGTCATTGATCAAACAATCTGATTTACGTGTACATTTATTTAAATAAATATTTGCACGCTCTAACTAACATTCAACTGACACCATTGGTTGCATGTGCCCTCCTTTACGTAAGGCTTTCCACTGAACAAAAATCAACACAAAGTAGGTAGCGGGATGTATTCGGCTGCCTGAACCCAACACGCTAGACAAGGCTCAGATCAGGTTTTGATTAGAAAATTGAAAGCAAGGGGAGGTTTTTTCAAAAAGCTGCGTTCTAGGTAGATGTCCACCTTGAGGTCATGATCAAAGGTGTCTTTTGTGGTGGTTTTGGGAAAAAAGGGTTTTGGGAAACAGTCTGCAAATGAAAGGATTCTGTCTAATGAATCATAAATGGTTGCTTCGTCTTGCAGCTTGTTATTGTTCCTTGGAAGCCTTCTCTGCCTCTGAAGCCCGGAGCAGAGTTGACACTTACATATCAGTATGGAAGAGCGGATGGGGTTCTTTCCTGCAGGGGTGGCAACTGTGTCTGAGATAATGAGGCTGGAAGGAGCAGAAAAGCAGCAGGCGGATCACCTAGAGAGAAACCCGCTTTTGGAATGGCTGGGGCATTCAGATGGTAACAGGACCCCCCGTTTATGATTTTAAAGTTGCCACTCACGCCTAATGGCAAAGGACATCTCTCATTTGAAGGATCCTCCTTTATTCCTTTGAGGGCATCACAGGGTGATTTTTCTTTTCTTATTTCAAAACCTTTCAGCAGCTTCACAGAACAGACACTGTGGCTCCACAGGTCCAGTTCGATCAGGCAACCTTGCTGCTGTGACTAGAAAAGGCAATCTGGATTGAATTACAGATGATGATCAATGTTTATACATCTTGCTATGCTAGGCATGCAGAAGGTTATAAAAAGATGACTAAATACCATACCATGCAGTGCATCAGTGGTGCTGACGTGAGTGTGCATGTGCACGCACACACACACACACACACACACACGCATACACACACACGTGTGTTCAGGTTGTTTGTTTTGGTAAAACCTCTTACTTTGAATGGGTGACAAATGTCACCAGTGACTCGCCACTCCAAAAGGTCAGCTGCTGACATATTATGCACTGTCTGATATGAAGAGCAATCAGAAAGTGCTTTATGAGAAATACTGATCTTGATCTAAAGGAGAGCGCAGGCAGAAGGGTGTTTATTCATTTTTTTATGGGCAGCATTGCCGCATTGCAGGTAACTTTTCAAAATGCAACCAACATTGAATAAAAGCTTGTGGCAAGATTGCAAACGGAGAACAGAGGTGGTTCTTCAGAGAACTAAAAAGCAAAAATTCCTGCTTCAGGTATGGTGGAGGCCCCATGCATACTGGACAAACTTTCAGCATGACACCAGCTTATTGAAGTCTTTTTATTTCATTTATTTATTTTTCCAGCTTTTACCCCGGCCATCTAGATTCAATTAATCTACTCTACTATTGTGGAGCTCTGCTCTATGTTTTTCTCTGAAAAGGATGTAACTAGTGCATAAGCAGGCCCGTAATCACCCATTTTTTAAGTACTTACCCAAACAGAAAATTATTTTGTGTCAACACTGGGGGATTAAATAACTAACCATCCCTATATAGAATCGTGTCCCTGTTTACAGAATTTGCAATTTCCAGTATTGCTAAGAGTTGCTATGTCACACATTAACGTGTTTCTTTTCCTTCAAAGTCCCATTTGAGGCCCTTTGCATAGCAACAAGGGGACATGTATAAGATTTTGTGTGTTCTGTGGTAGCTCTAAAGATTACATCTAGACATTTGATTTAATAAAACCTACTGCTTTACTTGGTTTGCATTTTAAATTGTAAGTTGAAGAATTAATTAGACAGTATGAAACACATCCATTGTCGTAAATAACTTTATTTAAAATGCCAGCATGCTCTAAAACAAAACATAAAGAGAAAGATGCACTATATACTTTATTTTTTATGTAAATTAGGCTAATATGTTAATGACAATAACTACTAAGTGTTTGACTTCATATCTGCCCAAATAGGAGTTAAATGTCACATATCTTTAAAATTCATGGAGGCTACAATTAGCACAAAGGCCTTGCATCTTGTAAAATAAAAAATAATGGCAAAGTGGGGGGGGGGGAACCTGGCTCTTAAAAATTCAGTGACATACTCATTTCTAGAAGGGGACCTAATAATTTACAGAAAATATTACTCTTCTCCCTAAGATATGCCAACTGCACATGATAAATCATTTTCTTTTAGGGGAAAAAAGCTGTGTTAAATCAAAACTACAAAGCCCTTGGGAGCATTAGATTTATGGCAATCTAAAGAGGGGCTTTGTAGGTTGATTTCAAACATCTGCTTCTGGATATTGATTGGCTAAGCACAGTGACTTCCTCCATTCTCTATCACCTCCTCCCTTTCCTCTCTGCAGAGATTTAAGGAAGAAGCAACAGAGGAGAGATGGTATTGGATATGGTTTTTATATACATCTGAAAGTCACTTCCAAAAATGATGCCCAGGTAGTAGTTGAGGACTCCAGCCACAGACATAAGGAACATGAACGACATGAGGCGTTTTCCCAGCATGTAACCAGGGATGCTAAGAGAGAGAATGGAGAAAGCAATACATAAGAATATATTGATTCAATGGGGGAGGGGATCTTAACCTCTCTATCTGTCATGAAGGTCAACCTCAACTTAAATGGAGCTCAGATGTTCAGATTAATGGGGTCAAATTCTGCATTGATCTATGTCTCTGCTGCACAGTTAATTTCATGTGAGCCACACAGGTATAAATCAGCAGAGAAATCTGGTGCACAGTGCAAAATGTATCCATTTTAATAATAAAAAATGTTCCATTTAAGAGATGTATTAAGCAGTGTATATCTTGTTCTGGCTATTAAAATGATAGCCACTGATTATATTTGAAACAAAATTCAAAAGCCTTGCATTTTTAATACAAGAACGGAGTGAGTGCATATGGAAGCTACGCTGTGGGCTGCCTGAAGAGATGCTGAGTCCCAATGTTAACATTTCGCCATTGGAGAAGACCAGAGGACTGTGGCAATGGGAGAAACATTGGCTCTAATGGATGGTGTGGAAGTTCTACTGTATAATCATATCTATGTCTGTTCCAGAATCCCACTGGCTGAGTTAAATGGAGATTAATAATAATAATAATTATCCCAATGGGGTTTATCATTCCTTTCTTCTGTAGGGCACCCTGGGACTGTGCAGCTTGCCCTGGACCACACAGGCTGGCTCTACTCGCCCGAAGCACAGTGAGGAATCGAACTCCCAAACCACTGAGCTATCCAGCTTCCAGATAAATAATATACTGTTACAGCTCCATTGTACTTGTGGAATTCAGCAGTTCTCCTTTTACCACTGAGGATATTGGATGTGGGAGCCATTGTCAAACCATCATATAACTCCAGAGCTTGATGTTAAAATAGTCCCATCTTGAAATGGGCACCTACCATGGTTCAGCGGTTCAGTGTGGTCTGGTGGATTGGGCCCACAGGTGTTGTGTGGCCACCCTGGATTCCATGCCGCACCTCCTCCCATAGGTGTCCCATCAGAAGCAGCACTGTGGGCTTTGCTGCCTCAGCGGTGGGCGCCTGCAGGAAGAGGCAGGGCGTGGAATCTGGGGCGCCCATGCAACCCTTTTTGGCCCCATCTGGCAAACTGCACTGAACCGTGGAAAGTGCCCATCTCCAGCCCCATCTATACAACACAGCAGTGTTAGTAATACTGGTGGCATTTTAGCTTAGAGAAATCAAATCAAGATGGAATGGGAATGTAGGGGCTCTAGTTCAAGGGTGAGGTAGCCATTCTTGTGTTGTCTTTTTAAAGCTATAATCCTTAGGATCCTCTGAGTTACATTAACTTGACTTTTGTTATGACTTGTATTATTAGATATCAGAAAGCCATCTCCTACTCTGATCGCTATCCCGTTCAAGATCTGAGTGGTCCTGTTAACTTCCCCTCTAGCCTTCCAATATTGCTTGCAAATGTCAGATAAGGCCATAATAAGACAGTTGCTCTATAACGATATAAACGGAAAGCATGAAAAGCGGGTTTGAAGTATTTTAATAAATTAGAGATGCAAACCTATAAAACAAGATTTCTTAATGGTTGAAGCATCACTCATTTGTGTTCTGGCCAATATAATCTTCAGGAGCTCTGCCAACACAGCAGGAATTCCAGCAGCAGGAGCAGAATGCCACTAACTGAAGATTTCTTTTTTTGATTTGGGGTGTGTGCATGACTTGTGCACAACGAGATGAGGTCACATGCACTCCAAAACCAAGAGAGAAACTCTGGAATTAAATTAGCAGCAGTCTGCGTGCAACCTCATCCCTGCTATGTTGGTCAAATTCCCCAAGAGAGTCCAGGCCACTTAGTCTGCATGCTTGCTCAAGAATCTAAAGATTGATTATTTGTGTAGCCACTTATGAGAGGACATCCATTGCCCAAAAGGCACAACAAAAGAGAAGACTTGTTTGGCTAAACTTGCACATGCTACTTTGTAGGTACAAAGGCAAAATTAGAAATGATTTTTATAATTTAAATAGAGTTGCAGAGTGCATCACTCTAACAGAAAGGCTGTAAGCAGTGTGTGTATCTGTGTCACAAAGTCTGCTGTCCCAGTGCTAAATGGATGGGCCACTTCCAAGACTCTGAACTCCCTCCTTGTGATTATCTTTCAACCAAACAACCTTTCAAATGGAGGACCCTTTTACAAGGAGGTCTGCCCACTGACAATCTCTCAAATGAACGTCCTCCATTAAAGAGTGAAGGTGGCCATCACATTGAGTATGCTGGCTGAGGGAAACAGGAGTTGTGATTCAACAAGATCTGGAGGGCCACAATCCCACACGTCTGCCGTAAAGAGAGACACAAGAAGATCCACTCTACATGTGGTCCTCTAAGCGAGAAGAAGGCAAGAGGTCTACTTAGCTCAACTAACTAGGAAGGAAAACAAAGGCAAGAGGTCTACAGTACTTAGCTCAACTAACTAGGAAGGAAAACCAAAAACAAGCCTGTTGTTATGGGGAACATTGGGCAAATAAACACGTGGATGCTCATCTAACAGTTTCTCAGGAAATAAAACTGGAAAGTTACCTCTGAGTCCTTTCCCCCATGTAGCCAATGAAGTACTTCTGCCTCACATACAGATACATCAGTCCAGCAAAAGCAGCAGGGGCTGAAAGGAAGGACAAAGGGAAAACCTTTTAGACTGTCTCTTACTTCACTCTAGCCATACTGTGTGTAAACCAAAGCAGGATTCAAGTCTTGTTCAGTATAAATGGCTCTCTTCAGACAAAAAGAGCATTTATAAACAAGGAAAGAATATTAATAAAGAATCCAGAGCACTTCAATGAATCTACAATTCCCAGGGTGCATAAATCATAGTGCAGGTTCAATAACATAAAAATGGGAGGTTGTATTGGTGGAAAGCTCAACACATACTCCTTGTCTCGCCTAATTTGAAAACAAAATGCTTCTGCCGAAGGCCTCTTTTCTCCATGCAAATGTCTATTCCTGACGGAAGTCTGCATATAATGGTAATGAAGGCTCAGTTCAAGCAAACAGCTGGAAAGGACTGGACATTGAAAGGCAAAGGGGCTTGAGGCTGTGGTTTGGGGGATGTAGACAGAGGGACCACTCCATCTTTAGCAGCTCTTTGTGTAATATGAACCATTTTTAATTATGCAAATACAAATTTTCACAAGTGCTATTTCTGAAGTTCAGATTATCTAGACATGCTTCTAGATTTTCTTTAAAATAGAGGCAGGACCTACATTGGGATATAGTGGTAGATCTGGGATTATGGACTTTCAGAATCTACAAGTCAGCATGAGGACTGTAGTACAAATAATAGCAATTCCAGGCTCTGATGCAGTAGATGGGGAAAAAATTTTGATGACTGCTTTCCAGCTATTTAACAATAACAAAAACACCAGGGCTTTTCCCACCCGAATTATGAGAGTAGGCAAGCAGCAATTATTTTGGTTGTTGTTGTTGGGTTTTTGTTTGTATGTTTTGTTTTTTGGGAAAGGATCTCTGAGCTCAGTTCATTTCTGGTATTTGGAACAAATGTCTAAGATTCAGAATGTGCTCAGCAGGAAAGGATTGCTTTCCTCGGTTCTTTAATTCTCTGTGTATCTCTTTTGCACCTGGCTCTGGCTAATGATGGATCTTGGGGTTGTTGTTAAAAAGAACGTGGGCCCGAGAAGCCTGAACCCTGCCCACCATGGGGGGCTGAGAATAGTATTTAAGTGGGAAAAACAGTATATTCAGCTGTAAGAAGGAAAGATTCTTACTTTCCTTCTGGAATAGGCAAACTGTTAATCGAAGTAGGGAGCTTTTCAGATGTTGACTACACTTTTATAAATCATGTGGTATAACAATAACTCTGTGTCGTCAAGTTGATTTTTGATTTATGGCAACACTTGCCAGGGCTCCCCAGTCCCTTATTCTGAGGATGCTCTGGGTGTGTGCACTAGTCTACACAGACTGACTCTTCTCTTGGGAAGCACTGCAGGGAATTGATCTCCTGACACATATTCCAACTCACTGAGCAAACCAGCCAGCTTCAAAGCATGTGACAGTAAACAGAAATAGATCAAGTTCTCCAACATGGGGTTAAACTATACATTGAAAAGAGCATGTCATTAGAAAAGGGAATCCTTAAATGATAAATGCCTTTGACTGTCACAGCAGGGGATTTTAACATCTCTTACAGTCTTTAAATTCACTTGCTTTGTTTTTTTAGAGGGGTTTGAGAGGGAGACACAAAATAGGTTTTCAAGTCTGATACCTTAAACCTGAAGATCTGCTCTACTTGTGTCTGACTGAAATCCTGTTGCTTACTATAGTAAGTCACACTGAATCAACAGGGATTTGGTGAGTTCCACAGATTCAAATAGGCATACTCTAGTTGTGACTTACTACATGTAGAAATAGCAATTTCAGTAGACCATTTTGGTCAACGGAACTTACAGAGGAACTGGCTCACCAAATCCACATTGATTCAAAGGGGCCTACTCAAGTGCATTTACTATGCAAAGGAAAAGTCTTACTAGGCTCAGGCATAGTGGGTAGTGGATGTGGTGAATACCTCCTTGAAAGAGATGTTAACAGAAGCTTCACTAGCTACTGATCCATTTTCAGGCAGAATTCAAAGTCCAAGGCATAGTGGGTAGTGGACGTGGTGAATACCTCCTTGAAAGAGGATAGAATCTAAGCATGCTTAAGGGAGGCAATAGTAAGCCCAAAGTTGAAACAGCCCTCCTTAGATCGCACAATACTGAATAACTACTGACCTGTTACACTCCACCTAAAAGCCCAGGTGCACAGCCTTGTGTTCTCCTTAGATAAGCCTCTGAGTCTTGATGCCCTGGTTTCGTCTGTGGCCTGCAGTGCCTTTGCACAATTAAAACTATTGTGCCAGCTGCGCTTGTTTCTTGAAAGCTCTGATTTGGCTATGGCGACACATGCCTTAGTTACATCTTGGCTGGATTACTTCAATACACTCTACGTGGGGCTGCCTTTGGAAAGTATCAGGAAATTTCAGTGGGTCCAAAATGCAGTAGCCAGATTAGTAACTGCAACTGCACACAGGGATCACCCCACCCCATTACAGAAGCTTCACTAGCTACTGATCCATTTTCAGGCAGAATTCAAAGTCCTGGTTTTAACCAATAATGCCCAAAATGGCTTAGATCCAAGTTATCTCAAGGACTGCATCTCCCTTTATGAGTCTGCTCAAGTGTTAAGATCATCAGGAGAGGCCTTTCCTTTGGTCCCGCTACCTTCACACAGGTGTGTTTGGTGGCAACACAGGAGATGGCCTTCTCTGTTGCTGCTCCCAAATTCTGGAACTCCCTCCCACAGGAGGCCATTGTGCCCCCATCTTTACTGTTTGCACAATTAAAACTATTGTGCCAGCTGCGCTTGTTTCTTGAAAGCTCTGATTTGGCTATGGCGACACATGCCTTAGTTACATCTTGGCTGGATTACTTCAATACACTCTACGTGGGGCTGCCTTTGGAAAGTATCAGGAAATTTCAGTGGGTCCAAAATGCAGTAGCCAGATTAGTAACTGCAACTGCACACAGGGATCACCCCACCCCATTACAGAAGCTTCACTAGCTACTGATCCATTTTCAGGCAGAATTCAAAGTCCTGGTTTTAACCAATAATGCCCAAAATGGCTTAGATCCAAGTTATCTCAAGGACTGCATCTCCCTTTATGAGTCTGCTCAAGTGTTAAGAACATCAGGAGAGGCCTTTCTTTTGGTCCTGCTACCTTCACACAGGTGTGTTTGGTGGCAACACAGGAGATGGCCTTCTCTGTTGCTGCTCCCAAATTCTGGAACTCCCTCCCACAGGAGGCCATTCTGCCCCCATCTTTACTGTCCTTCTGAAAGCAGGCGAAGACCTTTTTCTTCAGGCAAGCTTTTCCTGAGTGACTGGCTGCCTGAGAGGGATTTTTAAATGGATTGTTGTACCTTATGGCAGGGGTCCCCAACCCCCAGTCCATGGCCATGGCAGGACTGGGCTGCAGAAATAATCTCCCGCCCCCCCTCACGTACTCCCCCACCTGCATGCACAACCCGCCACTTGCATGAACAGGTGCCCCATGCCTCCATGAGCATGCCCCACCCTCTGCTCATGTGCATGAGCACGCCCACCCCTCTGCAAACGCGCCCCTCCACTCCGTACATGCGTGAGAGAGTGCCCCTCCCCTCCACAGGGGCACTCCACCCCTCAATGCACGGACCCTGCCCCCCTCAACCGGTCTGCAGTTCAGAAAAGATTGGGAACCACTGCCTTACGGCATTGAATGTGTTTTGGTGTTGCTTGTGAGTTTTAGTATTGTATTCATTGATCCTTTTAGTATTATATGCTCATTGTTACTAACTTGAATAGTGTATTTTAATTGTTGTAAGCTGCTTGGATCCTTTTTTTAAGGAGAAAGTCAGGTTAAAATACAGTATATTAAATAAATAAATACATAAGCAGGATTTCAGTCACCGGAAGATGAACGTGATTTCAGCCTCTAATGAGGTGCCGTCTCTAACATATAGTTCGATGCACAGTTGTGAAGGTCTGAAGAGTTAACCTAAATCCAGTGTGTGAAGCAAGTTGTCTCCCTCTGACATCCTCTAGATTTGACAGCATCCAACTACAACCCTTTTAATACTGACCCAGCCAGCCCATTTGTCCTCAATAACAAATAGGTACCACAATGATGAGGGGAAAGAATATGGAGAATGATCTAGCTATATTACCTTGGCTACACAGCAAGCCTGCACACCAGAGCACAGCAAGAAACATTGGGTAGGCATCTCTGCAGTTTTGGCTAGGAGAAGACATTGGGAGAAAGGGGCAACGTCATATTGAGATCAAGAAAAAAGGCATATGTTTTAAAGTGCATTTTCAATAGATAAAGTGCATGTAAAAAGTGGAGAATTTAATGAAAACATTGGAACAAAATCTTAAAGGGATGTTGGGACATGAACATTAGTCTCCCCCTCCCTCCCATTACAAGTGCTAATCACCTCATCTACAATTTTGCTGTCTAAATATTAATTATCCAAGGAATAATTTGTGCTAAGTCTCACCCAGCTCTCTCTTTTGTCTACCAAACTCTGCCTGATAATCCACAGTCAGTACAGATATTAAGGCTTTTGCCTGGTTAAGAAGGAAATGCTTCTTCAAGTCGTCAGATGCCTTTCCCAAAAGATGTAACATGAAACCATGATTTTAGTGAGGTGGGAAAAAGAGCTATTCACGTTTCTCCAGCACACCCCTGCTCCCCGATTTCTTCCCTTCCACTCCATTACCTCTGTTTTCCTCTGTTTCTTTTGTAGTCACACTTCCTGACTTCATTGTGTTGGTTCTACTGGTTATGAAACTGGTTTGGGTGCTACACTGGGGCAGTTGTAAAAGAACGGTGGGTGATAAAACAATTCACCGGGGTCTACTATATACTCCCCATCCCTTCACGGAAGGAGTTTGAATATTTTTGCTCCATTTTAGATTAACCACAGCTTGTTGTGATATCTAAATGAGGATAAACTATGTTTATTCTTAACTCTGGTTGGCACAAACAGACCAGCTACGTATCATAGAGTTTGGCTGATATACTAGATGATGTGCAGATGGACTCTAAGCCAGAATTTGCCAGTTTTCTCCCTTGGAATCTGTCCCAGGAACCTGTTTTGAGAACCTGGGCCCATCCAGTACTAACAGAGAATTAATTCCCTGAATGCTAACCGTAAAGATTGGAAGTTACTGGTTACAAGTAATGTAGTTATCTGCAACTAGTAATTACAGTGGGGTCTCGACTTACGAACTTAATCCATATTGGAAGGCAGTTCTCAGGTCGAAAAGTTCTTAAGTCGAATTTGCATTTCCCATAGGAATGCATTGAAAACCATTTCATCCGTATCTGCTCTTTTCGTCCATAGAAACTAATGGGAAGCTGCTATTCCGCCTTCTGCCACCAGAGAGGGATATTTTTTTCTTTTTTTCCTTTTAACCTAGGATGACTTAGCTTGAAAAAAAACGGAAAAAAAGAGTTCGTAACTCGAATCTAAGTTCGTAAGTCGAGTCCATATATTCCTATGAGAGCGGTTCGTAAGTCGAAACGTTTGTATGTCGAGCTGTTCGTAAGTCGAGACCCCACTGTAATGTAACTGGAAGATAACATTTTATCTGTAACAATTCACACTTATTAACCTTTAAAAGTTACTTTTAAAGGATATGCGAATACATTTTTAGAAGCGTTTCGACAGGAATTTCAGGTTTTATGCCATTTTCTTCTCAGTCTTAGTTGGCAAGGGAAGTCTTGATTGGTTTGGTCTTTTATATTTTTATGAATATTTCCAAGTAGCACTATCAGAGTTTCCCCATATATTTCTGACTTGTTGAAAATGATAACAAGACATGTTAACAATGCACAACATAGTAAATTACTTGCAGCATCAGAACAATGGAAACAATAAAGGCAATTAGATTGCTGGGGAGTAATGAGTAATGCAACAAGTTCCTTTGAAAATGTAATGTTTTGAAGTCAGGCTGGAACCTCATATGCAGTTTGTGCATAAGGACAAGGTGTTATCCTCAGCAAACAATCTTGACAAATCGTAAGGTTAGAAGAAAGATTAGCAACTTCAGAACAATAATTAAATAACAAACAGGAGCATTAGAGAGACACAGAATAGCCCAGTGAGGTCTGAGACGGTCACTGGACATTGGTAGAAGTGACTGGCTGAGTAAAACATTCCATTGCGGCATCTGTTTGGATGAGATATCAGTCCAAGAGGAGATAAACAACTGAATATATGTAGAGTCGCTTTCTATCATTATGGTTGCAGTCTTACTCTGCACACCTTAACTCCTCTTGGTTGTAACATGTAGGAATACTCACTTGGCAGTATAGACACGGTCAAAAGCAGATGGAGCAGCCCGCTGAACTGTTCTGCCTGTTTTCTTGTTTTCGTCTTCAACTTTATGTGCAAAATAAGCTGTCAAATAAAATTTAGAAATTGGCCTATTTTCATTTCATTTCAACACTGACATCCTACTTTTCCTTTCTGTGAACACTTGTAAGTTGCTAAGGAACACAAACAGAATATATTTATACATATCACTCAGTGACTCTACTAAATTCATCTTAATTATCAGCACCATTAAATCATAAATGACAATATTCAATGACATAGTGACTGCTCGTCATCATTACCTTTAACTAATCCAGAAATATTTCATTTCAATTCACTGTATAAAACAAAAATGCAAACAATTTTTTAAACCTGCTGAAATCTTATTAGCTGATCAGCATGGTTAAATAATTAAGCTGTGAATAAAGTCCAGTAATAAACTTGTTGTTTAGTCGTTTAGTCGTGTCCAACTCTTCGTTGGACCAGAACACACCAGGCCCTCCTGTCTTCCACTGCCTCCCGGAGTTGGGTCAAATTTATTCCTTTCACAGTAATAAACTAATAATAATAATAACTATATGCCTAACAAAGTACATTAACATTAATTATTTTGGTAGCATTTCATTTCAATAAGTCTAAGAAACAATAAACGTAAAATGGAAGCAGAGAAATACAACAGATCCAAGTCTGGAAAAGTTATTTTGGGCTAAGGATACTGGGAATTATAGTTAAAAAATAGATTTTCCTAAGTCCTGCAACAAACAGTAAACCTAGAATTGTTGTTGTTGTTGTTTAGTCGTTAAGTCGTGTCCGACTCTTCGTGACCCCATGGACCACAGCACACCAGGCCCTCCTGTCTTCCACTGCCTCCCGGAGTTGAGTCAAATTCATGTTGGTAGCTTCGATGACACTGTCCAACCATCTCTGTCATCTCTTTCTCCTCTTGCCTTCACACTTTCCCAACATCAGGGGCTTTTCCAGGGAGTCTTCTCTTCTCATGAGATAGCCAAAGTATTGGAGCCTCAGCTTCAGGATCTGTCCTTCCAGTGAGCACTCAGGGTTGGTTTCCTCTAGAATGGATAGGTTTGTTCTCCTTGCAGTCCAGGGGACTCTCAAGAGTCTCCTCCAACACCACAATTCAAAAGTGTCAATTCTTCGGCGATCAGTCTTCTTTATGGTCCAGCTCTCACTTCCATACATCACTACTGAAAAAACCATAGCTTTGACTATGCGGACCTTTGTTGGCAAGGTGATGTCACTGCTTTTTAAGATGCTGTCTATGTTTGTCAAACCTAGAATAACACTATACTTTTGCTGTTTGTGTCTCCCGATGTCTTGAATGCACACCTTAATGTGGCAAGGGGGATGAGTGCTTCAGAGAAGTCAAGAGCAATGTTGTCAGAAGTTGGATTCTAGTCAGATCACCCAAGGCAAAATGGTGAAAGCAAAGACCCCAGACTACCTTCTACTCTCTTCAGGGTTAGTGGTCATATCAGCAGAAGAGAATTGATAGTTCTACTAGGTGGCAGTAGTTATGGGAGGTGACACTGGTGAAGGATCTATCACAGACAACAACAGCAACACTCATTAGCATAGGCATCCTTCAGTCTCGAGAGACTATGGTAACATGCTCTGAATTGAGGATTATCCTCTCCAGAGCATGAAACCTGGGTAAAGTAATATGGAGGATAGGCTGTTACCCAAGCAGCAGATCCCCCCCCTCCACGTTGCTGAAATGGTCCAATGGAAAGGCAAGAGCCAATACAACTGGTTCCAGCAATGTCGCAGGAGCTGGCAGAACGGCACAAACTGCCTTCGGGACTCCAGCTCCGGATTTTGCCTCTAGGTTAACTCCTGAAGCCTTTTCAATCAGTGGATATAGCCAAAAGGCAGTGGAGGTTTGAAATCGGAGTTTTCCTTCTCCTAGGTGTGCAGCCTGTCTGACGAGCCCCACCTACCCGGCCTGCTCTTTAATAGTGCGGAAGTATGATCCAACCTTTAAAACTTTCCTGCCTCCCAGGTGTATGCAAATCTAATTGGCTTTCCCATTTACCATATTAGGGCCAGAGATAGAATCAGAGAATTTGAGAATTTCTGGGTTCTTGGGACACGCTTATTTAAATCAGAAAGCTCCACCCCCTAGGCCCCACCCCCAGGCCATGTGGTGGAGGAGACAAAAAGAAAGCCCAGGAAAAAAAAATCCTCAGCAAAATGTCCATGCAAGCATACGTGGCCTTCAGGCTCAGCCCAGCTTCCTAGGGAAGTAACACTGAGGCTAACAGGAAAGAAACTGATTCATTTGAAATATGCTGTTGGAGGAGAGCATTGAGGATACCCTGAACTGCCAGAAAAACAAACAAGTGGGTCAAATTAAGCCTAAACTGTCTCTGGAGGCAAAAATATTGAAACGGAGACAGTCCTACTTTGGGCACAGCATAAGAAGGCAGGATTCTCTGGAAAAGACAGTAATGGTTGGAAAGGTTGAAGGCAGCAGGAAAAGAGGAAGACAAAATATGAGATGGACTGACTGCCTAAAGAAAACAGTAGGCTTGAATCTACAAGAGCTGAGCAGGGCTGTTCAGGACAGGACATTTTGGAAATTGTTCATCCACAGAGTAACTGTGAGTTGGAGGTGACTTGACAGCACATAACAGCAGCAGAACTTGTTGCTACTGCACAAAAGAAGGAAATAGTAAACCATTTCTGAATAATTCTTACCTTCAAAACTGTGGTGAAGCAATCGAAAATTAAACAAGAGGTAGTGCTGGAAGGGGCATGGCATGTGAGAAGCCACAGCCTTGTGTTTGCAGGGCTGTTAATGACAGGACATTTTGGAGGTCACTCATTCATAAAGTCACAGTTTAAATCAGAATGAAGTGACTTTATGGTATGTATCAGTGACAAAGTGCCTCCCGCATAAGCATGCCCATTCAAATAATTCATGCAGAGAATCTGAATTCAATGTGAGCACACACTTTCTACTTGGAAGTATTTCTCATAGGGCTCTGAAGCATTAACCACATCACCATCTTCTTCACCTAAGTCAAATGGAAAGGCCATCTCATCCTTTTTCCAGCCAGCCCTGAAACTGCAATCCCAAAGGATTGGTTTCCCCTTGAAGTGCGTCCCATTGGACACACCACATCATTTGAAACACAGAGGTCACTATGCGGAAGCAATTCAATAGGCCAGAATTTGCTATGAGTTTATATTTGTGCACCTATGTTTTTGATGTTCCAAGGTAGAGTCTTTATCACAATCTGATTTTTTTTTTCTAGGCTTGAGAAAGGATAATACATGGCTGCAAAGCTTTGTTTTTGAGAATCGGCATCAGTTATTTGGAAACATACTTCTCTTCCCCTCATGCTTTAGATTTGTTAGCTGAAATCCAGTAGGGTAGGCCTATTAAATCAAAAGAGTTTATGAAAGAATTGACTCATCAAATCCCCACTAATTCAATGGCCATATTCTAGTTGTGACTTACTGTTGGATTTAAGCTAGTGGTGTGAATTCACCTAACATATAATACGGGAAACACTTAATCTTCCAGATGTTGTCCAAATTTCAACTCCCATCAATCCCAACCAACATGGTTAATGGGTAGGGATTATGGGAGATGAAATCCATTGATCCTGACAGGTGAACATTTCCTCCCTCCCACACACAAACACATTATTTAAATGTGCTTGAAAACACTCAGGTGAAAAACCTAGTGGTTTTCACGCTGTATTCCTACGAAAGCTGACATTTCTTGGGAATGGACCAAGAGGAGGTCTGTAGTGATGGGCAACAAAGGTGGGCGCTACTAGCCACATTTTCTTGTCATGCATGGCCTTAATATTGACTTGCAGTGACTTGACCCCAAGAGACTGTTGGATGTGTTTCTAGTCCATGGTACATTCTGCTTTGACAGGATATTTGGAAATCATCCCTTTGAGGCTGCCAGCATGCAACCAGCTGGGTGCAGGCAAAGAACAGAGGAAGGGAGAAAACCACAAGTTTGCCCCTCTGGGAGGAAATAATGAGAATTATTCTTTTCCATCAGACTTCCTCATCACGTAAACAGCCATGGCCAAGACCACAACTTTCTGAAAATAAATCCCCATGTAGTCCCAGGTTTTGTACTTCCTCTAATCTACTTATGATAATAACTATGTGCTGCCGGGTTGATTCTAATGCAGTGACCATTTCCAGTGTTTCCTAGGTGTAGAGTACTCAGAAGTGATTCACCATTCCCTGGTTTTTGGAATGGGGCACTTTGGGGACACAGGCTGGTTCTTCTTCTGAGAAGCACAGTGGGGAATTGAATTCTCAGGCCCTACCAATTCACTGAGTGGCCTACACAGCTCTAAACTGCTTACTCCCATGCAGATGCATTCAGATGGGCCAACACTTTGAAAAATTTCTTTTTGAGACTATAGTTCACCGAAATCTCATCCAGAATGGCTGCTGTCCGTGCTGGATGGGGGATTCTGGAAGCTGTCATCTAAAAAGGTAATTTTTCAAAGCTTTTAGCTGGGCTTAATCATATGCCCTACAATGGTAGTCATCACAGGTTCCCTTTCCTGGGACATTCAAATGCTCCAAAGTTGCATGAAATGGAGCTGTTATTTCTTGCTAGTCATGGGTAAACTCATCTTGGATCAGATTTTGGTGGTTTATGCACAAATGTCTATAAATATGTATAAGTGTAATGCTGATAGAATTTTTTTTAAGCAAGAAAGGCTAATTTCGAGAGCAGCTTGTCTGACAGCATATCCACATTACACAGGTGTGTCAATCTGATGCCACTTTAACTGTTATAACTCCATACTATGGAATACTGATACTTCTATACAGCTTTAGTGCATTTTCCTTAAGTCCTTTTTCTTGTTCATCTCCTACCCTGTTTCCCTGAAAATAAGCCCTAGTATGATTTTTCAGGATACTCGTAATATAAGCTCTGCCCCCAAAATAAGCCCCAAGTTAAGTGAAACCCCGCCCTCCACCATTGTGCCACATTTTGCAGGAACCCAAAGAAGATTACATGGCTGTAAAATAAAACATCCCCTGAAAATAAGCCCTTATGCGTTTTTGGAGCAAAAATTAATATAAGAGCCCGTCTTATTTTCGGGGAAACACGGTAGGAAAAGCTGGACTATTTTGACTCTGACACTGACCAGCGATGTTATGTTTTACCCAAATAGACTCTCAGGTTCCTCAGTCAGTGAGTTCTTCTTGTTATTCTTTCCCTGGTTATTTTACCTTGGATGGCCAACTGTAACCGTGTGTACTTTTTATTTCTAGGTAAGTCACAAAAGAATTCTAGCTCTCTGTATTTCATGTGTTTTATGACTTCTTTGTCTTTACACGTTTGCTTTAGTACTTGCTGGCCTTCTTGATCCAAAAAAATCACCACCCTGTGATAAATCCCGGGAAGAAAATTCTATTCTATGGGATGGAGCCCCAGTCATAACCATCTCCTGCACCTGAGTCGGCTGCAGGACACAGTCTGTCAGATAGGTTTGTGCTATTACTGATGTTAGGTAAGGAGCTAGCCCTGCCTGCTTTGTGTTTCACCAAAAGGTACAGCTGCCTCAGGCCACACTGCAGCGAATGACTTGTGCTCCTCCAGGGGAGAAACACCACTTGCTTGAAATGCTAGGTGTTCACAGTGAAACCATCCTCTGCAGTCCACCCAGTTAGAGAAATTCTCCCTACTTTCTGTATGAGAGGGAAACATCTTTGATCCACAACCTCTCACGCACCTAGTGCAGTCTATGAAAGCTTATGCCAAATAATGTCAGAACAAAAAAAAGGACAAAATGTTGTGGCACCTTAAGACGAATTGATACTCACAGATGAACTGTGAGCTTTTGTGGATTACGTGTACTACCTCAGATATTAGAGTGAGACTATATGACCATAACATTCATACAGGTCCTCATGACCAGGTAGAGAGGAAGATAATAAACAAAGTTACAATGGTTCATTAATAAAGGAATGGGATTATCAAGTTGTGAATATTTCAGTTAGCAATCTATGAGTCTACAAGGTAACAACAGCATTGTAGACAAAGGTGCCAAACTGTGGGAATCAATGTAGGATTTCACAATTTATGCCAAATAAAACTATCTAATCTTTAAGGTGCCCGAAGAGTCTTTGGCTTTTTTTTTCCAGAGCAAAGTAACACAACTTTCCCCCATCAAAGTTTATGCCAAATAAAACTATCTTTAAGGTGCCCAAAGAGTCTTTGTTTTTTTTTCCACAGCAAAGTAACACAACTTTCCCCCATCAAAACTGTCTCCGCTTATAACTTGTCACATTCAAAGTTTTCCCACTGCAATTCTATCAACGTTCATTTAACCCATGGACTGATGTTGTCAGTCTACATGAAGAGGTGGAACATACAGAACAAGCACTGAACTCAACCCAGACAAATAAGAAAAGAGGGAATGATGAAAAAAGAGAGGAAACAATTATGACATGCTATAGATATTGAGCAGAGCTTGGAAGTGTCACTTTTGGGACCTACAGTTCCCAGAAGCCCACGGTTTCCACATAATGTGGACATTTTAGCCTGAGAAAAAGCAATACTGTAGTCCTAAGGTCTAGCATGGCATGCAGAAATCCATGCATGAAAGCATGGTTGATTCATCTTCCCCTCATCCATACAGGAATGATGCAGAAACAACTCCCTCCTGCCATGACCTTCCCACTTCCAAATGCATTGCACCCCCTTACCATTTTGGATGACACTTAAAAGTGTTACAATGACCAGAAGGACAATGTGTCCCACAATGTCTTGGTCCATGTTGGCAGCAGACGGGTCAGAATACTCTCTCACTGTTCTGTGCTGCAACTCAGTCAGATGAACCACAGATAGAGGAAGTAAAGTCTGCCTTAGCTTGCATAATGGAACCTTGGTGAGGGCTTCCTGGTTTAAGCTGCAGCATGGCCATAGCACATTCAATTCAGATGGGTTAGAAGTGCACTGACTCTGCAATGCACACCTTTGAGTCTTTTGCAGCAGCAATAGTGGTGGTGTTCTAAATCTAAGAATTTCTGTAAAGCATGCATCGTTTTGTTTAGTCGTTTAGTCATGTCCGACTCTTCGGGCAATAGCAATAGCGGCGGTGTTCTAAATCTAAGAATCTCTGTAATGCATGCATAGACAGATGCAATTTAAATGTTTAATTAATAGAGCAATGTGAAACGAATTTACCTTCAGTTATTCTCTGAGAATGACAGGCTGCAAAATAAAAAGGAAATAACCTCAGGCAGAACCCAAAATGGTGTAATCATTGCCCAGTAACCTCCCGGAGTTGGGTCAGATTCATGTTGGTTGCTTCGGTGACACTGTCCAACCATCTCATCCTCTGTCATCCCCTTCTCCTCTTGCCTTCACACTTTCCCAACATTAAGGTCTTTTCCAGGGAGTCCTCTCCACCTGGAGTAGGAACCGGCAATTCCACTCCAGTATCTTTGCCAAGAAAACCCCATGATCAGAAACAAAAGGCTAAAAGCATGCATAGACAGATGCAATTTAAATGTTCAATTAATAGAGCAACGTGAAACGAATTTAGCTTCAGTTATTCTCTGAGAATAACAGGTTGCAAAATAAAAAGGAAATAACCTCAGACAGGACCCAAAATGGTGTAATCATTGCCCAGTAATGAACTAATGAAATATTCTTTTTCCAAAGTGCATGTTGTGAAACACTGGAATTCATAAATACAGTACTGTACAATCTTAAAAATGACTCAGAATTCTTCAGACTGAAATCAAACACAAATGTGCACCAGTGAACAGCACAACCCAAAATTTGTAACTTCAAAAATAATTTCCAAAGAAGTAGACTGAAGATCCTTATTTCAATAATCTATTTATAACATTTCTTTGTAATTGTGAAAGGGAAGTTGCTTGGATATCTTCTTGGACCCAGCCCTTTTATGAGAATCCCACATTGTTGCCACAACCAGTTCAGCTTTTAATCAACTTAGGCTGATCGCCTAGTGGACGGGGTGGCCCTGAAGATGTTAGTGCATGAGCTAGTGATCTCAGGGATTGGCTGTTGCAACGCTCTCTACATGGAGCTTCTCTTGAAACTGACCTGGTAACTTCAACAGGTACAGAATGCGATGGCCACACTGATGTTGAATGTGAATAAGTTCAAGCACATTTCCCTAGTCCTGGCCAGTCCACACTGGTTGCCTGTGTAGTACTGAGCCAGGTTCAAGGTGTTGGTTCTTACTTATAAAGTCATTCACAATCTGAGACCTCAGTACTTGTCAGAGTGTCTTTCCCTAAGAACTTCCACCCATGCCACTTGATCCTCCCAAGCCACGCTCCTTTGGGTTGCCACTTTGAGGGAGGCCAGGAAGTCATTGACTAGAAACATAGTCTTCTTAGTCATGACCCAATCCATTTGGAATGGGTTCCCAGTGGAGCTGTGTCTGGTCTCCTCCCTCACAGTTTTTAAGAAGATGCTCAGAAGGAGGCTATTTACTGCAACTTCTCTTAATGTAGCACAGATTGACCATCGTCATCCGACTGCAATCAGTTTTTTTGTTGTTGTCAGTTATGGGCTGCTTTATTTGTTCGTTTTTGGTGAACTTATTTTTTTATATTATTTAAGATTTTTTTAAAAAAATTATGTTATGTCTGTTTCACTTTGGATGTAAACTGCCCAGAGTAGTGTTTACCACTAATCAGTGTGGTATACAAGTTCCATCCATCCATCCATCCGTCCATCCGTCCATCCGTCCGTCCGTCCGTCCGTCCATCCGTCCATCCGTCCATCCGTCCATCCATCCATCATCAATACAGTTAAATATCTGGGCAAAAGAGACATGTAACAGATACTGCAATATCACACAGTATTAAACACATCTACTGAGTCAGATGACTGGCATAAGTTACTTTGCCCAGGAATTTAGGCAGGGGTGCACTTGCCTGTCTGGAAATACCAGGATTGTAGCTTTCCTATTGTCTCTGACCTTAGTTGCAAACCTTATTGTAATTAGGAAAGAAATAGCCTTTCTCAGAAAGAATATATGGCTGAAAACCTGTTGCTTAGTGTAGCAAGTCACACTTGTGTAAGCCCAGTGAATCAGTGGGGATTTGATGATTCAAAAAGGTCTATTCTAATTGTGACTTACATCATGCTGTTGATAACTTCCAATTTGATCCTTAGGTCCATTTTGTGGTAATTGTAGTCTGAGAAAAAGCAATGCTTCGAAGCTCTAGTATGGCATGAAGAAGGCATAGCCATTCCAAATAATGCTAAAAAAACATGCATTTATAAGAAAGAATGTGATAGTTGCCAGTTTTCACAACTGCATGGAACAGCCAATCTCAACAGACTTCTAGCATCACTAGAAAGACATCCCAAATCACCTTTCATGATTTGCTCTGGACACTTTTGGAATGACATGCTGTTGTCATCAAGTATAGACACGTGCCATCAAGTATAGACAACTGTATAAGTGAGCAATCTCCAAAATGTCCTGTCCTCAAAAGCCCTGCTGAGCTCTTCCAAACTCAAGTGTGTGTCTTCCTTTAGTGTGTGTCTTTCCTTTTTTTGGTTGCCTTCAATCATTCCCAACGTTATTGCCTTTTCCATAATACTTTCTTCTCATGATGTGCCCGCCCAAAGTAGGACAGCTTCAGTTTCAACATTTCAACCTCCAAAGGTAGTTCAGGCTTGGTTTGATTTAGGACCTACTTGTTTGTTTTCCTGTCAGTCCAGGGTATCCACAGAGCTTTCCTCCAGAACTATATTTCAAATGAATAATTTTTCCTGTCAGCTTTCTTTACTTTCCAGCTTTCGCACCCATACACGGTGATCGAAATAGGTTTCGACTTACGAACCGCTCTCATTTTAGTGTGTGTCTTTCCTTTTTTTGGTTGCCTTCAATCATTCCCAATGTTATTGCCTTTTCCAGATAATACTTTCTTCTCATGATGTGCCCTCCCAAAGTAGGACAGCTTCAGTTTCAACCTTTCAACCTCCAAAGGTAGTTCAGGCTTGATTTGATTTAGGACCTACTTGTTTGTTTTCCTGTCAGTCCAGGGTATCCACAGAGCTTTCCTCCAGAACTATATTTCAAATGAATAATTTTTCCTGTCAGCTTTCTTTACTTTCCAGCTTTCGCACCCATACACGGTGATCGAAATACAAGAGTGTGTATTATCTTGGTCTTTGTCTCCAGTGACACATCCTTGCGCTTAATGATCTTTTCTCATTCCTTCATTGCTACCGTTCTGAATCTCAGACTTCTGATTTCTTGGATGCAATGTCCATTTGGACTAATGATTGAACCAAAGTATACAAAAACCTCTATTTCAATTTCTTCCTTGTCCATGTTATAGTCATGTAGTTCTTCTGTAGTCATGATTTTCTTCTTCTCAATGACCAAATGTCATGGCTAGACTAAATTTCTGATGCTTTTCAGCCATGTGTTGAAAATCAGGATCAATGTGGGGGCCATAGGGATAGCAAGGGATCAATTTCACTTTCTCCCATTTCTAAATTTTTACATCTTAATTCCCCCCCCCTTCTCAATATTAAGAAATGTGTAAATCTTGGTGAATTCCTAATAAACATAAACTGAACTGAACTGAAACATCTGTTACATGGTTCTTTTACACTAAATAGCAGGTGCTATTTCATGGTGGACTTCCTGTCAACTGGAAATCAAAACAGATATGGTAATACATACATGCCTGGCCAACATCTTTGGAAGTCATCATGCTTTAGATAAGGGGTGGGGTTCAAGTATCCTGCAGCAGCCCAGAGCTTCCCATTCCTTGCACCCTCTCCCCCCCCAAAAATAATTAAAACTGAAACAAAGATTTTGACTTTTTAAAAAATTCTCCTTATGCACAGTTATAGGGGACCCATACTTCTAATTTTTAACATTTTTTTAAAGAAACATAGTTTTGGCCTCTATGAGTTCCAAGGACACCTTTTCAGTTAAGAAAACCGATTTTTGTAAGATTTACTCGGGGGGGGGTAGGGGTGGTGGTCCTGTGGACCACCAGAGGTTGTCCACTGCTTCAGACTGCTTTGAAGCATCTTAGGCCATTCTAAGGCAGGCTGATCACTCACACTTTTGCTACACAGAGATGGAAATGAGAATAACCTTTCATGATCGTACTGAACCAGACCAAAGCACGACTGATTGCATTGTCAAGGTCTGATATCCCTAGTCTGCAACTTAGTTCTTGAACTCACTTTTTTTCATTCCTTACTTCTTTTCCTTCCTGTGTTATCTTCTGAATATTTAATGCAACCACAAAGGAAGTATTTTATTATTTCTTCTGTTTTTTGAAGGGCCTGTTAGCTGCAGCATTAAAAAAAAAAGAGAACTACATACAGTCCTTGGAACAAATATATTTGTTAGACTTCAGTTATTCTTTAGGTATTACAAAACCAATGATTGATTATTTATTACCATATTTCTACAGTATACTGCCGTTGATCTTATGGCATCAGCGCAATATGCAAATATAACTGAGAAAGCTAATATGATATGAATAAAAATAAAATAGCATTAATTACAGCAGTAAAAGGGCAGGAAATAATATCTAAAATAACAGTTTACTTAAAGCATGTCAATGAACAATTTACTGGGCAAAGCAGTAAGTTTCACCATGTGCCAAAAATTACCATTGGTACCTGTTACACTTCTCACAGGGAGGATGTTGAACAATCAAGATGCTGCCATAAAGAAGTCTTGTTATCATATAAACAAAGTCATTTTATCATAAACGTCTCCTGTATTATTGTATAAATGTACTATTGGAACTTAGAGAAGAGAATGGATAGTGTTAAAGTATGGACAGCTATAGGAAGCTATTCCTATAAGAATATAGTAAGAGGGTTT